CTGGGCCCACCACTGGCACCTGCAGGAGAAGAGACAGGCCCACATATTTGTGCGTTCTGCGCTGCTGACAGTCGCACAGGGTGTTTGAGAGACTGACCCGTTGCTAGGTCCAGCTGAGGTGCCAGGTTCTGGGCAAAGGATGCTTGCTGGGGACCCTGGATTCCTCAGGAGAGCAAGAGACTATTATAAAGTCATAACAGACAGACAGCCAAAGCTGAGGGCTTTAACCCTGTGATCTACCAAATCTCCAGCATGGCATCCAGCTCCGGAGCGGAAGACACAAGGCCTACAGCCACAGCTGTAATCACACCTGGAGGAGAAAAATTCCCCTGATGTGTTGCAATCTACTTCTTCATAAGAGAATGGTAGCTCATGGAAGATGAGTGGGGGACACAGGTTAAGGGCAAGATGCCCAGAGCTGCAGAGGCAGCCAGATGACTTTCTTGATGGAAAGTTTTCATGCAAGGAATCCATTATGCTCACTGTGCAAGAGCAGTCAGAGTTAAATGTTGGTCTGCAGAGCAGCAACTTCAGAGGGGCTAGGGTGACCTTTTTTCCCCATGACCTGGCTGCTTTCAAAGTGATAGAATGGTCAAGACTTACCAGTGCCAGTGCCCGTGCCCGTGCCCGTGCCAGTGCTACCTGCCAGCACGCTCTGATATCGGTTCAGACCTTCAGAGACAGTACAGCGTTAACTTGCTCAAGTTAAATAATAAAAGACATAAATGTTTAATCCTTCTGGCAAACAGACATTGACAACATACCCCTGGGATGCTCTAGCGGATCAAATCCTGGATCCAGCCCATAATCTGTAATCAAAGACAGAAAAATAAAATCATGCTGATGACATGTTGTGAGACACTTCTTCCTAAGCAGCAGCTGCTGAGATGCCAGAGTGAACTTCTGGTAGGAGCTGGCAGATTGCAAAGGAAATTAAGACTCACAACTTACCTATGCGTTCCCTGCGAGGCTCTGCCTCAGGTTCCCACTGAGAAGATTCAAGGCCATCAGCTTCATCCACATCTGCAACTAAAGGCAGAAGAGAACAAGAACAGCTGTCGTGCTACATTCTGGTATACCTCTTCAGCTCTGAATGACAGTGAACGCGTTTCAAACACGCACTTGCTCCCCAACTCCCGTCTTCCCCTTCCAGTCCTGAGCAGCTGGCAAAGGCTTACTGGGTATGAGCAGAAGAACCATGTATTGGCAGAAACCAAATCCGTGCAGAGCTGTCAACAGGTCCCACTCTCATCTTTGACCTGGCAGAACATCATCAAGATGTATTAAATTCTATGTAGGGAATCCCAGAATGCGTGAGGTTGGAAGGGAGCTCTAGAGGTCATCTAGTCCTGCCGTCCTGCTTAAGCAGGGCCACCTGGAGCCAGTCACCTAGGTCTGTGTCTATTTGGCTTTTGACTGTTTCTGGGGAGACTCCACAACCATCCTATTCCATATGAAGAAACTCTTGAGATGAAGAAGGTCTTCTGGGAAGTAACTACTTACCCCTGGGATCCAGAAGAGGCCCATTGAAATGAGTCTTCTGCTGAATGGGTTTGTACCGTCGGCCTCCAGGAACACCTGCGATGAAAATACAGTGTTGTTATTAGCTGCTCAGTAGAGGAAATGCAAAGTGGGAAGAAGAAATCATGATAAGATAGGGGTTGAAGTGGAATTTACCACTGGGGTGCTCCTGATTATCAAATCCCAGATCCCTCTCCAGAGCTAGATATGCACTCTCGAGGGAAACATCTATAATCATAGAGAAGAAAAGTGTTTCTGAGATGTTGTGAGGCACTTTTTCTTAAGTAGAATCTGCGGCGGGGCCTAACTTCTGGGAAGGATCTGGCAGATTGAAAACGAAGTGAAAGTGACCCCAGCAAGCCACAGCCTCTGCAGCCCACACAGTTTCCCTCAAGAGTGCATATCCAGCTCTGGAGAGGGACCTGGGATTTGATATACAAGAGCTGCTAGCAAATGCAGAGTTCCCTGAGGCACATCTCTGAGCTCTCCCAGTTCACACTGCTTTGCTCTTTTGCACCTTTGAGCCTCAGCCAATAACTTAGGCAGGTACATCCCACCATTAGGCAAGACAGAAAAGAATTGCTTGCTCTATGAAGTCAATAAAGACTGAGGATGTACTCCCAGGATAGAATTGAGGCTCAAGAACATGGGGTGGCCAAGATGCACTGCCGGCATGCACAGCTGCAAGCAAACACAGACGAGAAAGCTTTTCATTCTGTGTTGTGAGATGCTTCCCAGCAAGTGAACCACAGAGACTGGAAGCAGATCATGGACCCATGTGGCTCCAAGGGAAGATCCAACATGGACTCAGCCACGGGTTTCTCTGCCCTGCCAAACTGCTCCCAGCCACACCACCTGCCTGCCAAACGCTCCCACAAAGGCTGCAGCCTTTCTGTGCCTGGCCATGAGGCTTCTGTCTCCCACTTGCCTCGGAACCAGTGCCTCTGTTGTTGCCCAACCTACCTAGACGTGGTGCTTGCACTGAAGCAGCCTGGTTGTCCTGAACAAACAGAGCCACCAGGAGGAAGAGGAGGAGGAGGAAGCAACCGGGGGAGGAGGCCTTCCAGGCTTGTCCCATGGTGCCCATTGCCAGAAGTCAACACACAGTTTCACCTTCAAGGACACAAGTGCAGAGTGGTGTCTCTGGAGCCTGGTGCAGCACAAGGCAAAACGCCCTGCGTGACATCAAAGGAATCCTCTGTGACATCAAAGGGATCCTCTGTGACATCATGGGTCACCACTGCTGGGGCATGGAGGGCCTCGCAGACACACATGGGCCCAGTTTCCCTTCACGCTCACCTCGCCAGCATCTGTAGCAGAAAAGACAGTCCCACATCTTCGTGTGTTCTGCACTCCTGACAGTCGCACAATGTGTCCAAGAGGCTGAACAATCGCTATGTCCAGCTGTGCCCTCAGGCTTCGGTCAAGGAGTGCTCGCTTGGGATCCTGTATTCCTTAGGAGAGCAATACAGTGTTATAATATAACAATAGACAACGAAAAGCTGCACATGTTAGCCCTGTTTCCACACCCTCCCCCCATCAACTTGAGGCTCCAGCAGGGCATCCAGCTCCAAAGCTGAAGAGAGACAGCCTACAGCCACTGCTGTAAGAACATCTGTAGGAAAAAACCTTCCCATTATGCCTTGCTATATACTTCTTCATAAGTGAATGGTATCTCATGGAACATAAGCCTGGAACAGAGGTGTAGATTAAGAGACCCAAAGCTGCAAGTGTGCCCAAAGTGCCCAAAGGTGACCTGGGTGGAAAGTTTTCATGCAAGGAATGCATTTTGCTCACTGTGCAAGAGCAGTCATGGTTAAATGTTGGTCTGCAGAGCAGACTTGCCCCTAGTAAAGCCATGCTGGCTGTCTCAGATCACCAACATCACACCCCCTTTTAACTTTGGAGGCATGAACTGTCTGCGCCATCACTCAAAAGCAACTGGTTGCATCGTGACTTGTCACAGGGTAGAGTGTGGCAGGAGCACACCAGCCCCACTGCCTCTCCCCTAATATGGCCTGGCCTTTTGACATAGCAGCTTCCAGCTCTTTTGCACCCTTATTTTCGCACTTCTGGCAGCATACCCTGGCCACTGTCATGTAGGCACCCTGCTTCGGTGCCCCTCAGTATATACTCCCCCTCCCCAGTAGTGGGAATGAGAAGGATGGGACCCCTCAGCCACCAGACAGGGTCTCCAGAAAATGGGGCACTTTGGCCCAGAGGGGCTTCTGGACTACAGTCAACAGAAGTCCATAGTTCAGATCCGACCAGGCTATAAAATTGGACACCCACTGGAGACCCTTTAGAGCAGTTCTCCTTGGAGTAGTGGGTCTGTGATCAGAAGCCCTCCTCCTAAGACTAGGATGCCACCTAAGCAAACTTCCTAGGACTGAGTGCTCTAACCCTCCTTTTGGTGAGTGATTATTCCTTATGGATATCCTTGAGTGAGCCCATGCCCCCTTCAGGTTAGTGACTCTGGGTGCACTTGAGTGAGAGGTTTCTCTTTTGTGAGTGAGTTTGTGTGCATACACTTAGGAGTCACCATGCTGTGTCATCGTGTAGTAATAGCATCCCCAACTGGAACATTGAACCTGTAATTTGTTAAATGTCATTGCAGCGTTATTTTGGTTACCCCCATTGTGTTGTTGGTTTTGTCTGTTTGGTTTAGGTTGCAAATTAAGGTTCAAGTTTATTATCTGTGTGGGGTCGTTTTGGTGTGCTACTGTGACAATTTGGAAGGCGAAATGTCTACCCCATTCTTAGTCAGCAGACTGCAGATAGCCTCAGCCACTTGCCCTACCTGTTCTTTGTTATCTCCACCAACTAGAATGTCATCTA